GTTTTTCTGATCAATCGCTTACCAACACCGCAGCTTGATAATCTGTCTCCCTATGAGAAGCTCCTTCACCGTTCACCAGATTACAAATTTCTCAAAAGTTTTGGATGTACTTGCTTTCCCCACCTGGTGCCATACAACAAGCATAAGTTATCTTTTAAATCTCTTCCATGTGTATTTCTTGGTTATGACGATCACTATAAGGGTTATCGCTGTCTTGATCCTTTTTCAGGTCGCATCTATACGTCTCGGAATGTGACCTTTGATGAAACAACCTTCCCTTACAAGCAGCCCCAGCTTCCATCTCCCTTGCACTCAAATGGGCTTCAACCTCTCTCTCTTGCCGACCAGCCCATATCTCTTGGGCCCTCTAATTCTCTGGTCAGCCCTTCTCCCTCATATCCCTCATCTCTTACTCCCACAGGCCCATCACTTCCCCCTATTTCTTCTGACCCTATCAGCTCCCCCAATTCCTTCGACACCCCCTTGTTCTCCCCTCTGTCCTCTTCTGTATCCCCAACGACACTGACCACGAACCCAGCCGATCCTTCTCTGGTATCCAGCATCCCCCCTTCCCCCCCCTTTCCACTGAAACCTCGCCGCCCCTTTCCACAGAACCCTCGCTGCCCATTTCCACAGACCCATCACCGCCCCTTTCCACAGACCCATCGCCCTCAATTTCCCTAGACCTATCCTTCGACTCTGACGGAACAACCCCACCCCTTACCCCACCTCCCACTTCTTCACCTCTTGACCCATCGATTTTCCCTAACTCTCCCGATACACCCAATCCTCCACAAAAATTCAAGAGTCTCCAAACCATTGTCCCATTTGGTCCAGAACCCAAACCCCTCTACTCTAAAACCAGCCCCCATCCCTTACCCCTTGCCCTTTCTGCTGAAGCTTCTGATCCCATGTCCCTTGAACCTACCAGCTTTACCCATGCTTCCAAACACAGCCACTGGCGCGATGCTATGCACGATGAATATGCTGCACTCATGAAGAACCAGACCTGGTCCTTAGTTCCTGCCACCTCCCGCATGAATATTGTGGGGTGCAAGTGGGTCTTCAAAGTTAAACGGAGGGCAGATGGCTCAATTGACAGATACAAGGCTCGTCTTGTTGCCAAGGGTTTCAATCAGAAGGAAGGCTTTGATTATGCGGAAACTTTTAGCCCGGTGGTCAAACCGGCTACCATTCGCACTATATTGTCTCTGGCACTTTCCTACAATTGGCCTCTTCA